TACTACTTCATTAGAAACTTATAACCACATTGTGTAATTGAGTTTGTCTCTTCTGCTCCTTCTTGCAGCTATCACTTCCTTTATAGGGGATACATTGACATGACTGTTGGGGTTCGAGGAAATCCACGCACATCCCGAGAGAAGGTCACACGAGATCAAAAATAATAGTACAAACACAAACAAGCTAATTTTATGTGGTTCAGTAAGTTGCCTATGTCCACGGGACAAGAAGGGGATGAGTATTCACTATTAGAGAGAGAGTACAAATAAAGATAACAAAATCACTCAAAACCTCACAAATTAATCTCTCAAACAAAGCTCTTAAATCTCTCACAAAATCACCCAAACATACAGCTCAAAAGTCTCTCAAATTCCCCCTTACTTATTTTCTCTTCTAAAACGTTCCATATATATAGAAATCCTAAAACCAAAAACATACTAGGAATTCTAAAACCAAAAACAAAACAGAGTAGGAATCCTAATAACCTGTTACCAAAATAGATTAGGAATCCTGTTACCAAACAGATCAGGAATCCCAATAATATGTTACCAAAAAAGATTATTAATCCTAATAACCTGTTACCAAAATAAATTAGGAAACATATTAGGAATCTGCTATCCAACAATTCTCCACCTCGACGAAGTGTTTCCAAAACTGAGCCGACACCAATACCAACCAAAGGTCCCACTTGTTACGTCCAGTATGAAGTGAAAACAAATTCACGACAACAGACTCAATCCACAACAAGTTAGGACCCAAACGAGAATGCGAACAAACTCTAAAATGTCAGTATCAACTCACCAAACCGGCTGCATCATAATTGACTGCTTACGTATCCTCTTGCCTAAGGAATCAAGCATCACGTAGTTTACCCAATGGCCTCCAAAGGTCCTCAATCAACTAGAAGGATTCTCAATCCTTTACGATCATCACCAACAAATCTGTAGCTGATAACTCTCCCACTGGCCTCAAAGTGAAGCAAACTAAACACCTCCACATGAGGTGAACCAACGGCCATAGCCAAATTAGAACTGTGTCTACCAGCTGTACTCGAATCAACAAACTCATCATCTGCATCCACACAAACATGATCCCCAATCCGTGTCACCTCAGCTGGAATCCCAAACAATACAGAATGATCTGGAGTACGCGGAGTAATCTCCATCTAACGTGGAGTAGCATCACTCTCCACCCGCTGCGATATCCCAATGATCTGTCGAACACTCTCCACCTGCTGAGAGTCAAATATGAAAATATTGCTTAGAATAATATCAGAGTCCCATACTTGGTAACTAAACACGCCTCTGAATCCCAAATGTGCATTCAGATCAAATTTCATATCCTCGATGTGACAATATACTGGGCATCCAAATATCCGAAGCAACCCAAAATCTAAAGCAGTTCCACCAGGTCCAAATACTCTAATGGAAACAGACGACAACCTACAAATAAGATGACTTCAATATGTTAAAGCCACATCACCAAAACTCCTCTGCAAAGCACCGCTCGATATCAAACACCGATCTTCCTCTAGCAAGAAACAACTCATCAAATCTGCCATCACATCTTGTTGCCACAATGTTTCCTTTCCAATAAAGTGTCTCAAACTCCCTTGAGCTAGGCACAAATGCAGAAAAGAATCCCTCTTGTACTTCCTACCAAACTCAGAATGAAGTATTACCTTTCTGCCTATACACTTCTTCCACCTGTTATTGACTACTAGGACTTCACTCCAACGGGACTTGGTTGCAACCCACAAATGCCTAGAACAGTCCTCAACACAAGAAACTAAATACCTATTACCTCCTAATGATGCCTCCTTAGAAGGCCCCCAAATGCCTATATGAGCACCACCTAGAAGATCCTTCGCTCGATGAATAGAAGTGCTAAACTCCACCTCGGTCTTCTTGCTCATACCAACATGTTCACAGGAATTCAAATTGTAGGTCAAAGCACCTCTCACCAATCCATGCACGGTATCAACAGTTGAATATCCCAGCCTCAAATGCGTCTAGCCTAATCAAAAGAAGTCGTCAGCTCTCCACCTGTCACTGTGCTCCTAATCAAATAGTATAAATTATTCTTCCTGATGCCCTTCATCACAATCATGGACCCTAATGTGACCTTTAGAGATACATCCTCTAAGATCACTCTATAGCCTACTGCCTCCAAAGCTCTAAGCGAAATGATGTTTTTCGACAACTATGGAACAAACCTCACCTCCTCCAACTCCCTAGTTACCCCGTCACACATCCTGATCCGAACTATACTAATACCACCAATAGGGCATTCATGATCATTACCTATGAGTACGACATCCCCTCTTTCCAACTCCTCAAAGCTGGAAAACCAATCCCTCCTAGGGTAAATGTGGTATGAAGCACCCGAATCTAACATCCACTCCGTAGAGTTGGCAACATAAACTGACAGCAATACAGAGCAAGAGTAATCTTAAGAATTTGAATCTGAATTGTCGCCACTAGCCTTGGCAACATTCACCTCTGAAGCTTGTATAGCTTTCCCCTTATTCTTCCAGGCTCGATCTATCAACTTTGGGCATTCAGACTTCCAATATCCATCTTTTTGTAAAAAGCACACTGATTCCTACCAACTGCAGGATGTGTTCCTCTAGACTACGCCTTCCTACTTCGGTTTGGACTCTTCCCTCTTGTGACCAATGCCCCCGCTACTGTATCAATTGAAGTCTCCTTATCTTTCTTCCTAAGCTGATAATTCACAAGAGCAGCGGTGACCTCACTATATGAAAGAGATACTTTCCCATTAATAAGAGTAAGAACGAAGGTCTCATATTCCTCGTCAGGCAAGGAACTCAACAACAACAACACATTATCCTCATCTTCAATCATAATATCCACATTTATCAAATCCGTAAGAAGATTCGTGTAGTGGTTCATGTGATCACTAGTTGAGATTCTCTTCTTCAATTGGAAACGATAAAGCCTTATCTTCAAATGCAATCGATTATCAATACTCTTTGTCAAATACTTACTCTCTAGAATCTCGCAAATCTTCTTTGCCGAAGTCTCATTGATCACATCATACTTTAGATCTTGAGTTAGACAAGAACCAATCACACCACACGCCGTTCGATTCATCTTTTTCCAAACATTTTCTTCAATGTCGTCCTGTTTCCCATCCAACTATAAAGTATCCTCTAAATTTTACGCGTTGAGTGCATCCAAGACTTCACATCTCTATAAATCAAAATTGTTCGTGTCATTAAACTTCTCCACGTCTATCTTCATAGAGTGAATATTCAAACTTTGGACGGTCTTCATACAAGAATTACCACCCTCAACTCCTTCTTTCTTAGCCCCATCTTCCTCAAAGCACCAACAAACTAATGCAGAACAAACTGAAAAAAATAGATCCAAACTGCGAGAAAGGTAGATTTTTACCTCCAATTGAAACCCTAACAATAGCCTCCAAAATATCTTACCCCCACACGATGGAAGACAAGATCCACAATAATAAAAATCCTACCTTTGTCTCCAATTAAAATCCTAGACGAGCTTCCAAAGCGATCTACTCCTCCACCAATCCCCAAGTGTAGCCTGGGCTCTGACACCACTTGTTGGGATTCGAGGAAATCAACGCAAACGCCAAGAGAAGGCCACACAAGATCAAAAATAACGGTATAAAAACAAACAAACTAATTTTATGAGGTTCGACAAGTTGCCTACGTCTACTGGGCAAGAAGGAGATGTGTTTTCATTATTAGAGAGAGTGTGTGTACAAATAGAGATTACAAAATTACTCAAAACCTCACAAATTAATCTATCAAACAAAGCTCTCAAATCTCTCACAAAATCTCCCAAACATACAGCTCAGAAGTCTCTCAAATTCCCCCTTACTTATTTTCTCTTCTATAACGTTCCATATATATAGAAATCCTAAAACCAAAAACATACTAGGAATTCTAAAACCAAAAACAAAACAGAGTAGGAATTCTAATAACATGTTACCAAAACAGATTAGGAATCATGTTACCAAAACAGATTAGGAATCCTAATAAACTGTTACCAAAACAAATTAGGAACCTGCTATCCAACAATGACTTCATCTCTCTTTTTTGACAGCTTAACTGCAATTTTATCAGAGTACATATTTTAACCACTTAGAAATCAAATCAAACTATAGTTGGTATTTGTTTTCTTCAAATTTTGTGGGCTTAACAGAGGATTTATGTTCCTTTTTGTCGAGCTTTTGTAGAACAAATTTTCACTGTAGCCACTTTTCACTTTTTATTACCGAAATCGACTGTAGCAAGTTTTATTTACTGAAATCGACTGGTTTTCTCGCCACGTCAGCATCGTGGCGAGAAAGCTGGTCGATTAATTTTTAATCGTCTTCGTAAACAGTCGGGGTTGGCAACCCCGACTGTTTAGTTCAGCGCCCGCTAACAGCTTCACTAAATGGTCGGGGTTGGGAACCCCGACCATTTCGTAACAGACCTATTTCGAAATGGTCGGGGTTCCCAACCCCGACCATTTAGCAGAGCCCAGCGCTAGCTGGGCTGAACCACGGACAAAATGGTCGGGGTTGGCAACCCCGACCATTTAGCAGAGCCCAGCAAGCATCAGCGACGAAATGGTTGGGGTTGCTAACCCCGACCATTTAGCAGAGCCCAGACGCAACGCCAGTGTGGGTGCACAAAATGGTCGGGGTTCCCAACCCCGACCATTTTGCAGACCCCATTCCAGCCCACATTTACTTGGAAAACTCATACTTCCTGTAGTACAAAATGTAATCACAAATAACACATGCTAAAATGCAATCATACTCCTGTTATCAATTCACAATACAATCACAAACACAAATATAATACGTACAATTCATATTCGCAAACTTAACATTATATCAAATCCATCGCAACACAAACAACATATCAAGTCCAAATTGCAACTCAAACGCAAACATCCTATCAAGTGCATCGAAACTTAACAAATTTCAACAATGCCCTTTCCTCTCCCTCTCCCTCTCCCTCTCCCTCTCCCTCTTCTTCCTCTCCCCCTTCCTCGATCACCTTCGACGTGAGCTCGGATAAGTTCCTCGTCCGGTTGTGTGTGAAGTTGGGAGTGCATGACATCCGCGTCGTCTTGAACCGCCTGTGAACATTCGGCCTAAGTCTGCTGTGAGCCGCCAGCTTCATCATGCACATAGCTTGATCCCGCCCCCGTGTGTCCTCGTCGACGTCGCCGCCCGTACTCAATTGGTCGCTCCTCCCGTCCATCACGGCTTGCATGACGCGTCCTCTGAAGAGCCGACCGTATCTTTTTTATCATTCGAAGGAACATGTTCCTCGGCTCCTGCTCGGTAGTCGTGCGCAATGCGTCATGTGCCATAGTAGAAAGCTCTTCGAGCTCTTGTACCTATAAAATAAAAACCGAAAGAAAATTATTATCAAGTGGATGGTGAGAAAATAAAACTCAGAAAATAATTGTATATTTTTCTTATACACTTACCAACTCTCTCTCGACTGGGCCTCTTGGTATGTACTCCTTCGGGGCTTTGTTTTCCTGAAATATCCACCGGTGAGTAATCCCCCAATACCACCGTAGGTACACACCTATGTCAGGTGCATCAGCCCTCTCCATCACTACCTGTTCCTCCCTTAAAACCCACCTATGGATGTAATTTTGGCGAATTATTTGCCAATTAGCACGATGTGCACCTTTTCTTGGATCTCTCTCTATTCTCTCCACAGGCGCTGGAATATGTTGCCGTAGTCCAAATTGTCGAAGCACACGATCAGGCACGTGCATTTCGACAATCTCAAAGCATATAAGGGGGACGCGAGCACGCCATACATCCTCACCTTCTCGGCAAATATCCGGTAGTGACTCCAACACTAGCTCGTAGGGCATCCATTTGACCTATAAAGAAGATATTATGAGATATTGAATGAATATATTTAGATATCGGTAACAATTGGTCGCATAATTGAATATATTTAGATATTATAATTTTTATACATGTTCATCCTCCATCTGATCAAGCTCATTTCTGTAAAAGTTTTCATGCCCCTTTGGAGAGGTTTGCCAAGATCTGGACACATTCCATCTATTTTATATACAACGGGTTAGTATATATTGAAATAAAGCACTAAAATTACATGCATCTTAATAATACCTGCAGCCTAACGTAATATGGCCATCGAGAGCGCGGGCCTCCCTTAAATCAGGTGTTCCCATATGCAATCGCTCCCATGACCATATCTGCAGCAAAGTGAGGCAGCCCTTCAATTCCAAGATCTGGACACATTCCATCTATTTTATATACAACGGGTTAGTATATATTGAAATAAAGCACTAAAATTACATGCATCTTAATAATACCTGCAGCCTAACGGAATATGGCCATCGAGAGCGCGGGCCTCCCTCAAATCAGGTGTTCCCATATGCAATCGCTCCATGACCATATCTGCAGCAAAGTGAGGCAGCCCTTCAATTCTTTATTTTGTACGAGTGCTATTTTCGTCATCTCTCTATACAAGTAGGCTAACACTGCACTCCCCCAAGATAACTCTCCACACTCTTCTAGGTCCCCAAGAAGCGGTAACCATCTCACGTGCACGGAATCCTTAGTGAAATCCGGAAATAGAATAGTACCGATCATATGTAAAATATATGCACGGGCATAGCGCTTAATGATCTCATCAGTCGCATCGATCGGTACATTCTGAAAGTTATTCCTTAAACATTCGAGTTTGATCTTTCCCCCCTTCATTGTAGGAGTGTGACCCAACAATTCTTCACACTTGGTCGCATAATTGAAGTCATCGGTGCCCGTCACTGCATCACCATCTACTCTGAGGCCAAGTATAACCCCAACATCCTATAAGGTAATCGTCGCCTCTCCTTGGCGCAGATGGAAAGTATTTGTCTCGGGCCTCCATCGTTCAACCAATGCCGTCAAAAGTGCCCAATCAAGTCTTACCCATTTAATTTGTGAACACTCAAAAAAGCCGGCTTGACGCACATAATATTGTATCTGTGGATCCGTCAACTCCCAGCTAGAATGTGCACGGGTATGATCGACAATAGTAATACTCGGGGCCTGCATGTAGTAAACAGTGCAAATGTTCAGTAACAATCAACTACATTGAAATTTATATATAATTGAAAATAATAAAATTGCACTTTACCTCCCCAGCGTCTATCTTCGCGGATCGGTGGCGCTCTTGGTCATAAAGAACATCACGTGTCAATGGACCCGCCTCCATAACTGAAATATCTGCACATATAACGATGATACATTAATTGATCTATAATTGAGTTAGAAAAAAATTGATTTTACTATAAGCATTGATTTATAAGCATTGTTTGAGTTTTTTATAAGCATTGATCTATAAATGAGTTAGAATGAAATTACAAATGTATAAAATTGTACCCATTAATTGCTATCTACTTGGATTGGTCGGGCAATGAGATCTTCTATGCCCGGCTTGTCTGCAATATCCACATCTATTTTTTTTCGGAGCTCCTTCCCGGCCTTCATCCATAGTACCTTTTAAGCGTACTGATCGTGGGCGTCCGGCTTGTCTCTTATAGCTTGGAGGCACCACATGCGGCCCGTTATAGTGTGGCCAATAACGACTATCATGTACGGGGTGGAAACACTGCTTATATGCCTCTCTATAGTTGCTTGATTGATACCACTCAGAAGCGTATGTGTAATACGAAATATTTGCACCCCCCGATTGCTTGGACGTAACCGCTATGACATGTGGACAAGGCAATTTTTGCAATTCTGGTATGTTACAGGTGCATGTGCAATGTGCACCTCCCAAATTGACGGTGTAATTGTGACCATGTTTGTCTGTAACCTCCCATTCATCTACAGCAAATCTAACAATCTTCGTGCCTCTCGCCTGCTTAACTCGAGCTTCTAAAATCGCCTCATTTTTTGGTGTCAAGAACGAGGCCCACATTGCTCCATCCTCTTGCCGCTTGACAAAATAGTAATTGAGCCTATAAAATGTCCTCGCAACCAACACCTGTATGGGCATTGCCCGAGCCCCCTTAAGTACCCCGTTGAAGCTTTCAGAACAATTGGTTGTCATCATGCAGAACCGATTCCCTCCATCTTTACTGAGTGCCCACCGGTCGACGTAATCACTGCCCAGACTTCTCTCAATCCAATCATGTGCAGCTTGAGATGTTGCCTTGATTTGATCCCGTATCCGATCATACACATATGTTTCCGGCGTACAACCCGCTTGCCACAGAAGGTTTTGTAAATGAATCTGACTAAAGCTCTTTTTGAAGTTAGCTCTAATGTGTCGTAAGCAATAGCGATGATGGTGATGAGAGCCAAATCTCCTCCACAATGCTTTTGGAATACCTTTCATCCTATCAGATATGAAAGTAATTTTACTAGGAGGCAACACATTAAAAATATATAATTGAATGCAAGAAAAAACCACTCCCAATTTTCACTGTTCTCGACCTCCACAACGGCGAAGGCCAAAGGAAATAAGCCACCATCTGCATCAACTCCTGTAGCAACAAGCAGTACACCCTTGTATTTACCGTATAAGTGTGTGCCATCAATGCTAAGAATAGGCCGACAAAATTTAAACCCCTCAATCGAAGGCCCAAATACCCAAAAAACAGAGGTGAATTGATGAACTCCCGGATCGATCTCTTTGGTTATGAGTTTGTATTCAGATCCAGGATTACTTCTTTTGATCGCATCAAGATATTGAGCTAGTGTCGCGTAAGACTTGTCCCAATCACCAAATATTTTTGTCATCGCAATTCTTCTTGCATTCCATGCTTTAATATACGAGATTTTAATGAACTTGGTATCAAGCACTTTCTCAATTATATTATCGGGCGTTAGATCAAGCTTCTTCCTTAATTTTGGCATAATCAACCGCGCTATGTAAGAGGCAGATGCACCACTGTGATCTTGCTCTAATATTGGATTGACACATGTGTGAACACCGCAGTATTCACTGGTCCTAAATTGAAAATTGTGTTTCTTTCCTGCAAATGCATATAACTTCCAAGGACATGAGTAATCAGCTTCATTTCCCTCGGTCAGACCTGTTCTTTGTGTGTTCATAAAACATATTGCATCATAACTTGTGCGATTGCTTTTAACTTGCTTGAACTTGAAATTCTTTTCGAAAGAGTATTCACGAATAGCATCAACCAATTGGTCTTTAGTCTCGAACAAATCACCAACTTTAAAGGGGGTGTCATCATCTCCTCTACGAGTTGAACTTTCACCGATGCACATATCTTTTACTGTGGAAGAACGAATCCACTCATCATCTTCAAACTCGTCGGGGGGTGGTTCTTTGTACTCAACGTAGTCATTATTAACATAAGCCTCATCAGGCCATTCCGGATTATCGTCGACATCTTGGGTAACAAATTGCATGCTATCAACTGGTGCACTATATTGTTCTTCACCTCCCGAGTCATTGCTTCTTTCATCCTCTTCGATTGATGCCCTACTTAACGGCCCCATATTTTCATAAGAGACTTCGTTATTCATGATATTTGACGTTCCACCGAATTGAGCCCGCTCCATTTCATTCGAAGAAGAAAGAAACCCATCGGAATTAACTCTCATATCTAACATGCGTGAGAATTCTCCTGGAGGTTTGAATATTTGGCACGGATTATGTGGTAACTTTTCAATAAACAATTCTACCGTTTGTTGCGACTTGCCCAATTTAAACATAATACTCATATGATAATCGTTCGAGATCTCCACTGCGGATGTTCTATCAATAGCTATGGGCCAATTGCATATAATTTTCAGTCGGTATTCTCGTGGGTCAATTTCCGTAACTCGGTGTAATTCCATAACCAAGTCGTAGTAACTATATGATTCCGAGATCATTAATGGCGTCGTTACCCCTCCGACGTACATTGGCATATTATTCATCCCATAATTAATTTGCCCACCATAAGAACAAACAATAAACATCATATTGTTCAACCTATTCAAAAGAAAATTATATCATTTAAATATAAAAAAATTAAATTAATATGCAAATAATCTTATATAATTTCAACCAAAAACCCTAATTCCCAAATTGTAAATCCTAAACCCTAAAATTGAACAATTGAACATTATATGCCCTAAAAGTTAATTACATCGATAATAATCATCATACAAACGAATTTCACAGATAAATCTAGCCCACGAAATTCATTTATGAATGAAAACCCTAGCAAATTATTTTTAAGAAAAAAATCCTACATTTCTACATGTTAAAAGAGGAGAGGAGTAGAAGAAGTTACCTAAAAACGTTTAAGATAACTTTTGATTTGAAGTTCCGCCGAAGAAACGAGCTCAAAATTGAGATCTGAAGCTTTGGTTTTGGGAGAACAGACGTAAGAGAGAAGAGGGAGGCGGAGAAATGAGATGGGATAGGGGAAAGGGGGTTGCGGTGGCTTTTATACGGTGGTGGGGACCCAGAATAAGTAGTCGGGTTTCCCAAACCCGACTACTTTCGGCCTCGCCCTTGCCCTCTGCTTAATGGTCGGGGTTGGGGCCCCGACCAATTAAAAATGAGCTTCGAAATGGTCGGGGTTCCCAACCCCGACCATTTCGTCCCTGGCTAACCCAGCGTTGGCTGGGCTCTGCTAAATGGTCGGGGTTGAGAACCCCGACCAATTTGTAATAGTCCTATTACGAATTGGTCGGGGTTCCCAACCCCGACCATTTACTGAAGCTGTTAGCGGGCGCTGAACTAAACAGTCAGGGTTGCCAACCCCGACTGTTTACGAAGACGATTAAAAATTAATCGACCAGCTTTCTCGCCACGACGCTGACGTGGCGAGAAAACCGGTCGATTTCAGTAAATAAAACGATACACAGTCGATTTTGATAATAAAAATTTAAAACCAGGCTACAGTGAAAATTTGTTCGCTTTTGTATCCTTCTCCTCCTTAATGTAAACACAGCCTACTCTTTTATTTAGTGTTCGTAGGCTTGGTCGAGCTAGGTTTGGTTACAGTTGACGTTTTGATTTACTTAAATAAATCTTTATGTTGGTTAGCTATATTCACATAATCCAATGAATTTGACAAGCCGGTCTAACTTTCATTTCCAGAGTCATCACTGCAATATCTTCCTGTAATCCAGCCATATACTAAGAAGAAATCCACACAGCATTTTGAATTCTAGCGTTATAAATGTTATAAGAATGGCATGCCATCCAGTACCTAGTAATGCATAGAATATCATAATTCTCTTTGCATAGAATATCATAATTCTCTTTGCATTTGTGTTATTCATAAAGCTTGCCATGAATTGATTGACTTTCGATCTCATGTTGAATCATAATGCTATTTAAGGAAAATTTCCTTGTGCATTTCTTGGGCAACAAACTCAGAGGCCATAGTTCAGTAACTAGATTGTGTTTTCATTTTACTATGACCGGTCT